CAGAGAAAACAATCAAGGTAAAGAGATATATTTCAGGGTGGCCAAATCTTGATCTCCCACAACCTCCAAAAAGACCTCTGTTACAGATGCCTGGGTTCAAGTTCAAACCAGAGGGGAAATGATGTTTGTAGACTAACAGAGGCCCAAGTTCAAGAACTGGACCTGAGGACTATGGAAGGTAGAAGTTCATTCATGGTGGAAGACTGCTTACAGGCCTTTGCTTGCAGCCTGTAAAACAAGATGGTGATTTCTGGCAAAATCAGTAACAGAGGTTTTTAGATCAAATCACGGAGATTGATAATGGAAAAGTTAATGTTTTCCTGGAATATAGACATGAAATAGTTAATGGAGGCCCAGGGTTCAAGGTCAGAGTAATGGTTTGTCACTTCAGAGATTAGATTATAAAAGACTGTTGCTTCCATCTTGTGTTCTCTCTCTCTCTTTCTCTCTCTCTTTCTCTCCTTCATATCACTCACTCTGGGAGAAGCAAGCTGCTATGTCAAAATGACACCCAGACAGCCTTTGGAGAGGGCCATGTGCCAAGCAGTTCTGGCCATAGCCAGTGAGGAACTGAGGCCCCTAGCCTATAGCCATAGGAAAGAGCCATCTTGGAAGTGAAACTTCCAGCCTCAGCTGACTGCAGCCCCCGTTGACAACTTAACTGCAACATCAGGAGAGACTCTGAGACAGAACCACTCAGCCAAGCCACTCCCAAATTCTTGACCCCACAGACGCTGTGAGATAATAAACATTTGTTGTTTTAAGCTTCTCTGTTTAAGGCTAATTCGTTGGGCAGCAATAGATAACTAATACAGGCATTTAAAGTTTTGGCCTTTTGTTCATCATGGATTTTTGCATTAATTTTCACTTTTGAAAATATTGCACTAAAATGTTATTTATCCTGATTACTGAGTTTTGTGGGGCCCCCTTAAATTTTGCACTTTGAGGTGAGTGCCTCACTTGCCTCAGCCTAGTCCTAGCCCTGCTGAGAAACCTGGTTCTCTAAAATCATAGACTATCTGTGGGAGATCAAAATTGGCCACCCAGAAATCCATCTCTTTACCTTGACTTTTTTCTCTGATGGACGTTTAACCTCCCCCATTAACTGCCTAAAGGAATTTAGCTCTGGGTATGGACAGACTGGCAGGGTCCTCGCTAAACCCATTCTTTTCTTTTCTTTTTTTTAAAAAAATTTATTTATTTATTTTCTTTTCCCCCCAAGCCCCACTAGATAGCTGTATGTCATAGCTGCACATCCTTCTACTTGCTGTATGTGGGACGCGGCCTCAGCACGGCCGGAGAAGCAGTGCGTCGGTGCACGCCCAGGATCCGGACCCGGGCCGCCAACAGCCGAGTGCGAACACTTAACCGCTAAGCCATGGGGCCGGCCCAAAACCCATTCTTTTCAAAGTTCCGTTTACCAAATATTTACATTTGTAAAGGTGTCTCTCTCTGTGTACTAAGAAGAGGGGAGGATGACCTTATCTGTGAAAACTGTTATCAGGACGGAAGAAGAGGACTTAAATCTACATACTCTTGATTACTATAATTCCTGTCTCTCCAGCCAATTCTCTATAGGCGGCCCTGCAAAGAATTGTCTGGCAAACATTTACATTTCCCTCTCCATATGAATTGCCTTCTTCTCCTCTAAAATCCCAAACCACTACCACCCCCAACATCCTCCTTTGTCTTTAGCTGAACATGGTGTTTAAGATGAAAATCACCGCTATTGTGTTGAGAAACTCAGTTTTCCTGGTTTCTCCCATGTATACATGTTATTAAACTTGATATTATTTTCTCCTGCTAACCTGTCTTTTAATTATTTGGCCAGCCATAAGAACCTTAAGGGAAAGGGCGGAGGGGGATTCTCCCTCTTCCCCGACATATCAGAAACTTTGCAATTTGAAATTATATCAGCAAGAATAAAACATGTCACTCTTGACTGGAAGATCCAAGTGACTTTAACACAGAAAAGCAGCCTCGATTTCCAACCCAGGTTCAGAGCTTCAAGTAAGGGGCATCTGGAGTGAACATGTCACATCTATTTTCACTTCAGTGTTTCTAAATAAAAAGGATCCTGGATCCAATTCACAGTTCAGACTTGACGTTGACCCTTTTACATACCAACCTGCTTTGCTTTGGGCTAATCAAAACGCTGCTTCGTTTAAATTTTAACTAAACTCCACTGTTCCGCAAAACCCGATAGTAATCCCATTTCTTCCTTTGTTTGGTGAGACTAGGGTGATCAACCATCCCTGTTTGCCTGGGACTGAGGGGTTTCCTGGGACAAGGGACATTCAGTGCTAAAATCAGGAAAGTCCTGGGCAAACTGGAACAAGTTGGCCACCCTAGGTGAGATCCCCCACTGTTTCCATGATGAGTGTTCTCCTCTACTGCAACAGGTTAACGTCAGGGTGGGGAAAATCCCCTTTCTGCCCTTCTTGTGTTCTTATGGCTGGACTAATAATAAAATTCACACAAGACCAGGTTAACAGGAGAAAACCCCAGTTTAACACATATATTTGTAATCAAAGAGAAATGATGCTTGGAGAGTCAACAAAGCAAGCAGTGTATATATCTTTTCCACAAAGAAACAATAAATTTGTGAGGAATGACAGGACAAAGAGACTTAGATTTGAGGTACATAATTAGTGAGGAATTTAAACAGAGTTTAGGCTTGAGGTAGTAAATCAGCAAGGTTTGTTTATTCAGGATTCTGGGCTCTGAATTCCCTAGCTCTGGTGATAAGGATGCAGGGACAGCACCTTTCACATGGGAGATGTATTTCCTGCTTTCAGGGGGAACAGAGGCAGGAGGGTCAGACTGCCCTTTTTGTTTCTCAAGTAACTTTAATTCAAAATAATCAATATCCTATTGTGGGATATTTTGGAGTGGCCTACCCTGGGCTCTAACATTAAGAAACCCCCTTCTGTCGGACTATGCATGTGACCCTGGTGGTCTTTAGCAGATGGGCTTTATTAAGGTCATTAATGTTGGAAGGGTTCACAGAAGTGAAGTTTGAGATCAGTCCTAGTATACATTGATGGTGGAAAAATTAACAGGCCTGGGTTCAAGCTCCAGATCAGAGGGGCATTCATGGAGGAATGGTTAATTGGAGACTGAATGCTAAAACCATGCCAGAAAAAGATTGATAGTGGAAGAGTTATCAGAGCTCTAGATTAGAGGTCAGACTAGAGCAATACTGATAGGGTTAGAAATTAGTCCAGAGGTGATGGAAATGTTAACAGGGACCTGGATTTTAGATTTTGAAAGAGTCACTAACAGTGAATTAGATAACAAATGACCAAGTTCGAGGGCCAGCCAGATGAGCAGTGGTGGTGGAAGAGTTAATAGAAGCCAGCAATTTAAGCTCTCTGTCTAGACCATGTCTGAGGGGTCGTAGATAGATAGTGCAGCTGGCCAATGGCTGTGTAAGAGAGGTGGGATCTGGTTTCTGGTGGCCAATGGGATGAAGCAGCAGCCTGTTACTAGGGAGAAGCCCCTGTTGCTATGTGCAGAGTGGGGGAGGCAGGGTCTAGCCTGAATTGCTACAGAAAAATAGTTAGCCAATGACTGCAGCAGAAGTTGGGCTTTAGCCTCTTCAGCCTATGGTAAACTGTTACTAGGTAGTAACCCCCATTGCCATATGAAATGAGGCAGCCAAAGTGGCACCTGAGTGGCTGTAGACAGAAGGCACAGTTAGCCAATGGCTGAGTGTAAGAATTAGGCTCTGGCCTCCCCAGTCACATGAGGCTGCCAGGTCTGTAAACCAGCAGAGGTCCTCATTGCCCAATGCAGGGAGGGGGCTGGGCATAGCCTGAAGGGGTACAGATAGATGACAGAGGTGTGTGAGGGAAGTAGAAATGGGTGGAGGCAAAGCCTGAGGTTGCTTCGGGCAGATGATGCAGTTGGCCAATGGCTCTGTAGAGGAGGCAGGCTTTAGTCTCCACGGCCAATGAACTGCGAACATCCCTGTAACTATGCAGAAATAACTTTGCTCTTCCAAATTATAGCTGTAAGAATAAAACCTCTCACTCTTGCCTGGAGAATCTAAATCACTTTGACACATAAGAGCAGCCTCAATTTCCAACCCAGATGGAAGAGGAGGAGGAAACAGCATGAGGGGCTATAGACAGAAGACACATTAAAAAGAAGAAACACGGGCTGACCCAGTGGCGTAGTGGTTAAGTTCACATGCTCCACTTCGGTGGCCCAGAGTTCATGGGTTCAGATCCCAAGCGCAGACCTACAGACCTCTCATCAAGCCATGCTGTGGCAGCATCCCACATACAAAATAGAGGAAGATTGGCACAGATGTTAGCTCAGGGACAATCTTCCAAGTAAAAAGAGGAAGATTGGCAACAGATGTTAGCTCAGGGCCAATCTCCCTCACCAAAAAAAAAAAAAAAAACAAGAAAAAGAAACAAATGGAATTTAATGATATATTTTATTTAAACTATGTCGATGCAAATAATCCATAATCAATCTATAAATCAAAATTGGGGTGAGTTTATTATGAGCCAGATCTGAGGACTAGCCTAGGGCTTTCCTTCCCCAAGGAGGGAAGGGCACCACAGAAGCGGGGTATACAGATTGGTTATATACCATTTTGGAACAAAGAGCATACATCATATATGATAGGAATGTCCATTCACAATTGTCACGAGATGCTTAGCTGGCACAGCAGATCAGTGGTCAGCAAGTCAGTGGCCACAAGGTGAGCACAGCAAATTGGTAATTAATCCTTAGTTCCCAGGAAGAAATGCTTATCCTTAAAGAAATGCCGATATGGGGGGAAGTTACATCCCTATCTTTAAGGGCATCCTTCTTGTCTTTGGAACATAGTAAATATTTAAAGCAGATATACAATGCATGCTCAACAGGCTATGTCAGGCCCTTTTGGAAAAACAAGGTCAGGCATAATTAGTTTTAATCCAAATGGCTTCCTCATATACTCCAATATATCCTATTGCTTGTCATTTATTTATCAAGTATATATCCAAAACATTATCATTTCAACATGTAATCAATTTTTTTAATTATTAATGAGATATTTGGCATTCTTTTTGCTGTAATAAATCTCAATTTGAATGCTAAATTTTCATTGGAAATACTTGATTTGTATGTAGATTTCTTAAAATTTACAGTTGAAAAGGTAGGTTAATATTGACAAGTTGTTCCAAATATACTTTAAAAGTTTTCCAATAACTGAATTGAGTATCTATTTTAAATTTTTAATTAATTAAAATAAATAAAATTTTAAATTCAATTCTCAGTCTCGTTAGCCTCATTTCAAGTGCTCAATAGCTACATGTGGCTAGCATCTGCCATGTCTGGTGGCACAATTCTAGACAATATGCCACTGATAGTGGTCAAGTTGAAAGAGGCATGGTTTTGAGTTATAGGCCAGAAGGGCATGGATAGTAGAAGAGTTCATAAAGGCCAGAGTTGAAGATAGGCACTAATGGTGAATTGACAGAAACCCACGTTCAAGAACAGACTAGAGTAGCACTGATGGTGGAAGAGTTAACAGAGGCTTAGGTTTGAGGTCAGACCTAAGAGACATTGATGGCTAAAAAATAGAGGTTCCCTGGGGCCAGCCCCATGGCATAGTGGTTAAGTTCACCATGCTCTGCTTTGGTGGCCTGGGTTCTTGGGTTTGGATCCCAGGCATGGACCTACACCACTCATCAGCCATGCTATGGCAGCAACCCACATACGAAATAGAAGAAGATTGGCATGGATGTTAGCTCAGGGCTAATCTTCCTCAAGCAAAAAAGGAGGAAGATTGGCAACAGATGTTAGTGTAGGGGAAGAGGGAGAATTCCACGTGCCCCCCCAGCCCTTTCACTTAAGGTTCTTATGGCTGGTCAAATAATTAAAAAGGCAGGTTACAGGAGAAAATAAAACAAAGTTTAATATCATGTATACATGGGAGAAACCCAGGAAACTGAGCAACTCACCAAAATAGCCCAAGTTGCCACCTTAAATATCATCTCAACGAAAGATAAAGGAGGATGTTTGGGGTAGTGGTTTGAGACTTCACAGGGGAGGAAGGCAATTCACATGGAGATGCAAAAGCAAATGTTTGTTACACAACTGTTTACCTATAGAGAATGTGGCCCGAGAGACAGAATTTCGATAATATGGGCTTGTTGGTGCCTTTCGTATCACACCTATTTTACCTTATACTATAGTTATCTCATGGTATTAGCTCCTTCCATGAACAGGCCTTCTATCTTAAATTCTTTTAGGCAATTTGGGGGAAGGTCAAATGTTCTTCCTGAGTCTTCTGAGCCTTTTTTGCCTTCAGCTCAAAATAATCCTCATACCAGAGTGGCACACCTTGGGGCGGCCTGCCCTGAGCCCCATCATTAGCTCAGGGCAAATCTTCCTCAGCAATAAATAAATAAATAAATAAAAATAGAGGTTTCCAGTCTGGATAAGATAGCATAGACCTGTTCCTTCCTGCTAAGCACAACTATCAACCCTGAAATAAAACAAGAGACAAGCAAAGGAAAACTATGAAAGGTGGTGAAAAGAAGGTGAACTCATTTAGGATCCCAGACCCAGAGGAACAGCACAAGTGCAGGGTGTCTTATGTCCCCCCACCCAACAGAAGAAGGCAACACAGGCCCAGCATTTTCTGATGCCCAACCTAGCAACAGAAGGCAGCTCAGGTAGGCTTGTTCCTCTCCTGGATCAAATGGAAATCCCTCTGGGAATATGAAGCAAGCCTGAGGACCACAAGGGGATGGATTGGGAGCCTGCTGTCGGGGGAAGAGGGAGAATCTCCCTCTGCCCTTTCCCTTAAGGTTCTTCTGGCTGGCCAAATAATCAACAAGACAGGTTAGCAGGAGAAAATAATACCAAGTTTAATAACATGTATACATGGGAGAAACTCAGAAATGAGCAACTCGTCCCTCTGTCTAAGCTGCTTGCTTAAGTATTGCAGCTAAAGGCGAAGGAACGTGTTGGGGGTGGGTAGTGGCCTGGGACTTCAGAGGGCAGAAGGACAATTCTTTTCAGGGTCATCTATTGATAATTTGGTCAGGGAGAGATAGAGTTTTTTGATAAAAGGGGCTTGGTGCCCCTCCCATTGCAACATCTATTTTACATTATCTTTATAGCCATCATGATAGAAGATCTGTTCCAGGAATGAGCCACCATGCCAGATTCTCTAGGCAGTTAGTGGGGGAGGTCAAATATCCTTATTGTCTTCAGCTCGAAATAATCCGCATACCAGAGTGGTGCTTCCTGGGGCAGCTTGCCCTGAGCACCATCACTGCTTACAATAAGTGGTCCATACCTGGCTCCCCACTCCCAATATCCTGTTTTGTATTTAGCTGAAGATGATGTTTAAGGTGATAGCTTTGGCCATTTCAGAGAGTTACTCAGTTTTCCTGCATCTCTCCCATGTATACAGGAGGTATACATGTCATTAAACTTCTGTTTGTTTTTCTCCTGTTAATCTGTCTTGTATCAATTTAATTATTAGACCAGCCAAAGAACCTAGAAGGAAAGAAGGGAAAATTTTCCACCCCCTACGATGGCCTAGTGTTGTGTGGGAAGCCTCCCCACTGCACAGACACTTTGGAATTGAGTCCAAGAACCCAAAATAGTTGGTGTCAGATAAGTGGGATTTGCTAGAAAGGCTGTGGCTCACAGAAACATGTGGTTTGGGAAGAGAAAGGATGAAAGGGTGGAGGATGAGGAGCCTTTGATGCCTGGGTGGCCACATGGTCACCCGTGGTCTGGAGCAGCAGCTGTGCTGCAATCAGTTACTAAAGGTAAAAGTTACCAATGGAAAGGGCCAGCCCGGTGGCGTAGCAGTTAAGTTTGTGCCCTCCACTTTGGC